ATGTAAAAATAAGAAAATAAAAGTAAAAAAATCCAAACATAATAAGCAATTAATGTTGTCCGAAAATTTCGATTACTAAATTTGGTAAATGAGTTCTCTGATATATATATAGATATGTAATACTACCTCCTATTCTTTTTAAATGTCATTTTAGCATTATCAACTATTAACAAAATAAATGTCGTTTTAGATATTTTGTACATATTTTTCCATTATTACCCTCATCTAGCTAATAAATGTACTACGTATTTTCATATTCCCTCTTCATCTTTTCTCAAAACATTCATCTATATCCTCATTAATGAGGGTTATTATTTGCAACAAAAATATTCTTAATAACTGTGCAATTTCTCAAAACGACATTTATTATGAACAAGAGGGAGTAATATCTTCATCTATTTTTAGTAAGTAGTAAGTCAATAGTAATCTCTTTGTACCAATTACTGATAGAGAATAAATATCATGCAAACCCATATTAATAATTTTGTATTAATTGTTTGTTAGACAAACATGATGATGATATAAAGATGAAATAACATACACACACAACATGAATTTAGAGTTGTAACAAGCCAAATCGAGCTCGAGCTTAGGGTGCTCAAGCTCAAGCTCTTAACGAGCCGAGCTCGAGCTCATGAATTTAGAGTTGTAAACAAGCCGAACCGAGTTCGAGCTTAGGGTGTTCAAGCTCGAGCCCTTAACGAGCCGCGCTCGAGCTCGGCTCGTTAAGGCCTCGAGCTTGAGCCTTAACGAGCCGATCTCGAGCTTTAACGAGTCGAACTACAAAAAATTATATAAAAATTCTATTTTCGAGCCTTATCGAGCCGAGCTCGTTAGCCAAACGAGTTTTAAATGAGCTCGAGCTCGCCTCGTTAAGACCTCGAACTCGAGCCGAGCTCGGCTCGAGTCGAGTCGAGTCAGACTCGTTTAATTTTACAGCACTAAGCATGATAAAAAATTTTTTCTACATTGAATGATATTTAAACCAATATAATAATCATTAAATATAGGAAATATTAAGTCTAGACTCTAGAATAAATCCATGACACGTAGACAGGTCAAAGTCCTTCCTTTGCTTTAATGTCAATGCCCAATAGGATTCCAGCAACCAAAAAAAAAAAAATTACTGTATCATATAATATAATTAAAGAAAAGGAAAATACCTAAGAAAAAAGTGTTTTATGCAGAGAATATGATATTGAATACACAGAATTTTCATATATATCATTGCATATGCTACAACCAGCCAAAAAAAAAAATAAAAAAAAAAAAAAAATCATTCTACAGTCCTAACAAAGAAGGTGATTTTTGCCAGCACTCCAATCTTTTTTTTTTTATATATACTTTCATTTAACCACATTTAAGTTTCAAAAAAAAGCAAACTATATATTCAGCTACTTTTTTTTGGTACATTTACTAGGAGGAAGTGTTCCAAAGACCCTATCCCAGAAATTCGAAGTTATTCCGAATCCTTTGTCCTGAATTCTGAAGTGATGCTCCATGTGATTTCTCTGCACCGATAAAATAAAACTAAAATTGTCGAAAATCGATCAAGAATGTTACCAAAGGGATGCATACAAATACCACATTTCGATATTAACTAACCGCAATTCGTAAACTTAGCTATGTTTAGCTTATTTCGTTAGCTTATAAGCTTCCTGTATTCAAATAAGCTACGTTTTTGTAGGACGAACTTTTTTATAAAACTTCAGCTTATCTCATAAGCTTCTTCTTTGGTTAGTTTTTCAAATAAGTTCGTTGAAATTTTTATTTCAGCTAATTTAACCAAATATTATTATCATACAAGCAAGCTTTTCAGTCATAAGGCATAAGCTATCAGCTATAAGCTCGAAATTCACTTAAAAATTATAAGCTAGTTTATCAATTGATGTTTACCAAACATAACCTTAGAATACGAGTTGATTCCGTTGCATATAACATGAATCTTGGCGATTTTTTCTTCCTTTTTTTTTTTTGTTCTTTGGTTGATTGTTTCGGTTAGAACTACAAATATACAGTAAAAAGTTCACCTTGAGTTGATGAGAAATGCCTTTCAACGGCTTTCCATAGTGTAGATAGTAATGAGTGCAATCGTACATAACATATCCCAGCAAACCGCCTCCGAACACAGCAGGGGCATAAGCCTCCGATGCAAGCTGATTAACCATACCCCACAGCTGAAATAACCGAAAGATAGAAGACTCAAATTTTCAACAATAGATAAAAACGAAAAAACGCGAACTCTTTTTTTTTTTTTCTTTTCATACTGGCAAGGCTAGAATGACAGCTGCGGCTGGAGGGAAAACGAGCCTCAGGCCATCCATCGGATGCTTGTGATGGCATCCGTGAATGAGGTAGTGCAACGTATTTGCCCTGCATTTTTTTAGTTTCGAAAATCTATAAGAAATATGTTTTTTCGTGATTATGAAAAAAGTAAAAGACAAGCAAAAAGAGGCAAGAGATCACGGAGTACCAATAGCTTGTTGTGTTTATGTGGAAAAGAAAACGATGCAGAGCGTACTCGACAAGTGTCCACACCATAATACCGCAGAAAATGGCTAACGCCACATCATTCGGAGGGAGTCCGAGTTTTACGGATGACGACACGAAAAAACACACGACCGGTAGCCAGACGAGCGGTATTATCCACCACGCGGTGCGTGTCAAGAACTGATTCATGATTGTATGTGAATCAAATTAACATCAACTCGAACTATCGTTACTACACATTTCCTACAATTTCGACAATTCACTAGCACAATTCAATCGGAATACATGTATTTCATGAATTGATTCATATTTGAGGTGGTGATATAAGAAATCGAGCCTCGTAAAAATAGGTCATGATTGGATGTGAATCAAACATCAACTTCAACTATTGTTACTGTACATTTTCCTACAATTTCGACAATTCACTAGCACAATTCAATCGGTATACTTTTATTTCAGATCCAATCTCACTCCCAAAACCAATTTCCTTCTTCCTCTTTCACTATTTCTTCTACCGAAAACAAAAATTCAAAACAGAAAGACGTCCAATACATTTTCGCACAACCACATTCTTGACGAATGTATATACTAATTCCAACATAAAATTTAACTCATGTATATGAGTTCCAATATCCAATTTGAAGCATGTGTCCACACCACAGGCTCAAATAAGATTGATCACAAGCAGAGTAAGTCGATTTTTCAAACAAAACATTTTTGGAACTATATTGTTTTTGATGAAAATGTTGGGATAATAAATACCTCCAAGAAGTCATTTTCGAAGAATCTCGGCGTTTCTTTGCTGACAATCGGCTGATGTACCCATTCTTGATAAGCTTCTCCAAGATGGCCGACCTATCATTCGTCAGTCCACGAATATGGAATCGTATAAGGATTAATGGATAGCAAAAAAAAAATAAAGAAAAAAACAAGAACCATCAACAAATCTAATGTACTTTGGTGAAAGATCGAACCTGGAAAACAAGTGGTTTACTTAAATCCACCGTAAACTCGTTTGCGACCATCTTGGCACCTGTCGATGAAATTGGCAATGCACATTTAAAACATGAATGAAAACTTTGC